GCTTTCAGCAACTGAGAAACATATGGAAAACTCAGCCCACTCGTACTACTCGCTCGCTAATCGTGATCGCGTTTGAGACATTTGAAGAATTGCATACCTTCGAATTAATCATTAAAAAATTTCGCATGAATTATGGTGTTTGGTTGATATTTTTCATGAGAGATGCTGACCGGGAAGTCTGTCATATTTGCTGCAATCCGCACGGAACCTTAGCAAATCTGAAGTTCGGTACAAAAATCCTTATCTCATGCTGCGACTCAAACATGATTGAAGAATGGTGGTCTATCGAAGAAAACCTTCCCAAAGGGCAGGAAATTAGGCGATTAATGGATGAAAATTTCACGATTTCATGGTTTTCGGATGAGTTGATAAACGGCGATAAATATTCACTGAAGGGAGCCTCATTACGCATAACCGCAGTCACGGTATACAGACTGATATAATTTTTATTCCAAAAAACGTTTACCACTCTTGTTGATTTCAGCAATCAGTTTTCTTCAGAAAGAAAGATGGGCAGCTTTATGGATTCCTAGCTGAATTTCTGAATAAACTATCTCAAGCAATGGATTTCAAGGTATCGGAAATAATCTGGGAAGAAGACTTTGGTGTTTGTATTACAGGAAGTTCAGATTGCACTGGTAGTATTGGAAGAGTTCAGCGAGAAGAGGTGGATCTGGGTGTTGCTGCCTTTTCTGCGACTGTTGAAAGACACAATTTAGTTGATTTTACGTTTCCGATTATAACTGGAAATCATGAAATATATTTCAGGACATACAACGCTATTAACGTAAGGTGGAACGCGTATTTCAAGGTACTCATCATGGTGGGGCAACTCAGCTCCTTTTTACTTTTCCATGAATAGATTTTTTGACCATTGATCATTTGATAATAGCCATTCGCAGCAGATGTTTGGATTTTTATCATTTGTTTAATACTGATGACGGCGATGTTCTTCACTCTTATCAGATACAAACGGGAATCTTCGTTTTTTCCGCTTTTCGTTGACCGTTATCTTCATATTTGGGGAATTCTTTGTCATCAAAGCTTGCCAGGTAAAAGCAGATGGGATTTTGAAATTAACAAGATTTTTAATGAAGGTACGCAAAGAAAAATGTAGTTTTCACCAGAAAAGTACATTTCTTCTAAATGTTTTTTTTCACCAGTACCGATCGGTACTTGGGGGAAGTTCACTTGTGCAAATTTTGAAAAATACTTGTCCCATGTACTTTTTGTATCCTCAAGTGAAGTAGTACTCTGCCGATCAAGTAGAAATAGTACTGGGAGGAAGTAGCTTCACTACTTTCTGTTAGTATTATTAGAACTTTTCATGAGTACCAAAAGTACTGGTGAAAAGTTATTTTTGAACTTCTCTCAAGTACTTTTATGACTTAATTTCAGTAGTTTCAATTGATCACTTCATTGAGTAAAGCGAATATTATCAGTAGATTGTGACTTTTACGGGTGCTTTCCAAACTGAATTGATTTCTAGTTTTGAGAATCGGAATTCACGTTCTTGAAATCGTAATTCACGTTATTCTGACTGTAATTTACGATCTAAAAAGCGTAATTTACGCGTTTGAGAAAATCGTAAATTGCGTTTTTAAAAACATTAATTACCATTTCAAAAACGTGTTTTACTTTTGGATTTCTCTGTGTTCGATTGTGCTCCAACATTTGGATCTCCATTTGTAATCTTGAATGAAGTCCTGAAAAAAATTATGAGTACTGGATTTGAGCACATCTACTACTTATATTGAGTTCGGTTGGTACTTTTAAAAAAACTAGCCAGGTACTCAGTACAAGTACTTTTTTCACTTGTTCCGATAACAAAAGTACTTGTAACAAGTACCTCGGTACTTCTTACTAATACCCAGGTACTTGACGCATGATGCTTGCAGCCAGTTATTTTGTGACTTCGAGGAAGTATAAAATTTGCCTTTTCTCCAGAAACCTCTTGTATTGGGTAAAAGTACTTTTTTTACTGATCAGAAGTAATTAGTTTTTTTGAATGGGACTTTCTGTATAGCATTTCCCAGGGAGACTCCTTTAAGAATTGTCTATTTGACGATGGCGCTATCAGCACTCGTCTTCTCAAGCACGTATGCTGCGTCGGTGACCAGCAACTTCACCTTATCTTTTTATTCACCCTTCAATACGGTAGAGGAATTTGTGAAAGATGGCACTTATGAACTCAGTGTTGGACAGTGCTCTCATCAATGATATGTAGAAGGTAATTGGTATTTCTAATTGACATTTTCAATCTTGTATTTTTATTTCCAACATCAATGACATCATTAATCGATATCTTCATTATCATTTCATAGTTCTCCGACAACAAACTCAAGAAGAAGATGCTGTCTCTTTTGAGATCAGAAGATTCGCTTCCTAACAGCTCTCAGGAAGCATTTGAAGAGGTATTTATAATAATGACACTGTATTTACATACAGATACGAATCGTTAATGATATTTATAGAGAACTGGTTTGTCAACCAATTATTTCGTTCAAAAATTTCAGGTATGCAAAAAGAGAGTAGCTTTCTTCACGCACGAAGCTACGAAGAGAGCTCTATTCAATTTAATACCTTGTGAAATTAGTTCCATAAGGATTAATACCATGAACCCCATGTCAATGATCGCCCCTCGGGGCAGCAAATACACGAAAATCATTAACCATCAGTAAGTTGAATTTCCGAGCAAGAATTAAAATTTCATTGAGGTAACTGGAGGATAACTAATGGAAACGAAACTTTTTCTAGTATCCATCAATTCAAAGAGGTCGGATTATTGCGACGATTAGAAAACAAGTATTTATAAAGATGGAAAACGATAAAACTGAGCATCCGCCCATCAGCCTTCAAGAAGTTCAATCAATTCTGATGATTTTGGTGACTGGTTGTTTGCTTGCTTCCATCATTTTCATCATCGAATTGAAATTATATACGTATTGCAAGAATTTGTGATCAGAGAAGGGGGAAAACGCTTTTGGGAAAACAAGAGAAATTTCCGTTCTCAATGTACAATTTTGTTATTCGAAAATTTCAATAGAATTGAAGGCGATTCGTACAAACCGAACCTTTTCGTCGAAAAGGTTTCTTTCCGTAAACTTTCGAAGAATACTGCACTCATTTGTTTTTTTTTCGCCACCGAAATATTTGCTATGATAATATCGTGTTAGTAGAATTCCAATACAAATCTGAGAAAGAGATGAGAACTCATTCTCAATGGCATCAACAAGGTCACAAGTGGTAAAACAGTTCAAGTCACTTATCTCCCAGTTGAATTTTTGAGGAATATTTCCGAATCTAAGGGAGATCTAAGGGAGCGAAATTTTCGTAATTACATTTATTGTAGCACTAAATCGGCCCTACAAAAAAAGTTAGAACAACAATTTTGCTATCTCCCTTAGATTCCGAGATACTCATTGAAAACTAGTCGATGGTCAAAATTGACTTGTACCGTTTTACCATTTCGCGACTGAATTGTAACATTGTTCCCACGAAGATTTGCAAATGACGGTTAGCCGGATAAGGGAAGTTTGAACAATTCAGTCGTGTTTCGTTCATTCTGAAGGAGAAATGATCAAATATGTTAATGACGTTCGTCCGAAGTTTCGATGGAAGTCACCCATCATTCAAGTATATTGAAGTGCGCATACTATAGTTCGTATTAGATTCCGAACTATAATTAGCACAAGTAATAACAGACGGGGAGAAAAGATGGATGAAAGCTATCTAGAAAATCGCACCAAATTGTACTACATATGCGAAAGGTAAACGGGGAGCGAAATGTAATTCAATAAAAAAAAAATTCTCCGGAGGATATCTTACGATTCATTCGGTAAAAACCCATTCCCCGTTGTGGGAAAACTCCTACACATATGCGAGCGATTACGCAATATTTAGAAATTATTCACGTTCACTGACTCAGTTTTTGGTGGCATTCCCTTTGGCAGGATTCGCTTTCCGTAAATTCTTCAGCGCCAGTGAAGAAAAATTCATTATTTGTCTCGCACTTCGTTCACCGATAGTACTCTTCATGCACGCAATGAGAAAAAAAATTACTTTTGCCAAGGAGTTATTTTCTTGGGAGGAGAATTTATTTTTCTGGTAGCGTATTGCTCTAGGCCAGTCATTCCCAGGTGGTACAAGTCCATCTCCAAATATTACAATTATGGTGAATTGTGGGATGATAATGCAACCTATGACCTTCAATGAACTCCACTGATAATTATGAACATTTAGAATTACTCCAAATTATTTTACCTGACAAAATCTCAAATTTGAAAAAATTGAAAAATAATGAAGGGTGTTTATTCAAAGCCATATTTAGTATAATCATCTCATAACTCAACATAATTGTAATGTTTAGTGATGGACATGAACTACCTAGGAACAACTGGCCTGGAGAAATAAGCTCCCAAAAAAATAAATGTTTCACCTAAGAAAATGATTCCTTGGCACAAGAAAATTTTCTTCTCAGTGCACGTCAGTGTTTTTGAGAGATTTCCAGAACATTTGAAAAATTTTACACAAAATATTTTTGATTGTTTAATGTGTGGTGAAAACAAAAATTTCGTACGAGAAAGGATAATGTAATGATACGCTTACTGGAATGCAACAAAGTTTCTCTCATAAAATGCTCCCTAATAAGGTCAAGTTGGCAAAATATGTGGGAATTAAGACCTACAAATTGTGAACTTCTGCGAAAAGGGGAAAATGTTGAACAAATAAAAAGAAGAATCAATAAATACAGGTGTAGCTAGTGGACCTCATAACACCTTATTTCACACGAATGTGCTGTCTTATATTACCAGTTACAATTGCTTAATAATATATGGCACGAGTGCGCACAACATGAGGCAACCTGAAAGTATAAGAGGAGAATCCTCCGAGGGAGTGGAAGTTCAAACCGGTCTGCGGTACAAATTCAACGCTTTTCAAAGCTGATGTCAAACATTGAACTTCCAGAAAAATTTGATGGAATCTTTGGCAGAAGAAAAATGAAATTCGCGAACTCATCAATATTTTCGATTGTCTCTATTGTGATTTTTTTTGAGTTGAGTGAAGCTCATTACTATGGACCTGTGATTAAGGACGTTCATGACCAATTTGGAAGGACTGAAGTGATCATAGTACCACAAACAAACTATTTTTGTAAGTAGAAGAATTTGAATGAAAATTATTTGAATTCAGAAAACAGTCTAGTCTTCATCAAATATTGATCCGACTATACGTATTCCAGCATTTGAAAACATCATGATCTGGCATGAAACCACTAGGATATTATCCAATGAAGGAATATCGACAGTTATCCTTAACACTAGGCACTTCGAAGAAAAACTGAAGACTTATAATAAGGAAACCACTCGCTCCCTCATCGTGATTGCCCTTGATACAATCGAAGAATTGCATGCTTTCGAATCAACCACTCAGGACTTGCACATGAGCTATGCTATTTGGCTGATATTTTTCACGAGAGATGCTGACCGAGATGTTTGTGAATTTTGTCGCAACCCGCAAGAAAGTTTATCAAACATGAAGTTGGGCTCGAGAATACTTATTTCCTGTTGCGCCTTCAATACAATTGAAGAATGGAGGTATGCTGGAAAGAATCGTACCGAGAGGCAGGAGCTTGGCAGATTGAACAGAGATGATCGCGGAATTGTGTGGTTCTCTAATAAGCAGGTCGCAGATATTCATGGCGGCAGATATTCACTTGCTGGCCGAGGGCTCCGCATTGTTGCGGTGAAGGTAAAACTTTCATAAATTATATTAGATCATGGGAAATTGGAAAATGAGTACACCATACTAATGCGTAGTGAATGAGTAACGTTTCGCTTAATATTTAAGATTCCTTAGGTTCTTGACGAATTACAGTAGAGGAGGGTAGGGCAAAACGGACCGCAGGGCAAAACGGACCCCGAGGGCAAAACGGACTACTGACAGAAAATTGATAATTTTTGTTTTTGCTTCCGGGTGAAGCAAATTTAAAGTCATTTATGGTTTGAGGTGATTAGCAAATCCGATCAAATTGCGGTTCAATTACACTAGTTGTCTATAAAACCCCTGTGACAGTTACGATCCAATAAACTCACTTTTAATTCAACGCATTCAGTGCTCCTGATTTGAACGAAAGAAAAAAAAAAAGAAAAATTACCAATTTTCTGTCAGTGGTCCGTTCTGCCCTAGGCGTCCGCTTTGCCCTACCCTCCCCTATATAGTATATAGTCACTGTACAACCTAATAAGACGAGACCGAACGTGCGCTACAGCGCGCTGTATTGTAACAATCATAATTAAAAATATCAAAATTAAATTAATCGTGAATTAAATTTGCCGCCTCAGACGACTGAAACCAATGAGGAATAAGCGTGACAGATTTGCGAGATATTGATAGTTATCGACTTTAAGTGTGTATTCTTTTTAGAATAGGATTAATCATGTCGAGTTCTACAATCATCATGCAAAAATGAAAAAAATGAAAAAATACGTCGTCAGCAACGAACCAGACATAGGTGTCTACCAGACAGTGAATTTCGTAAATTTTTATTTGAAATAAATGTTCGAATCCTCACATACCCTAAACATTTCCATAACAATTCAATTCAATTCAATGCGATTAAGTGAGTAACAGACTATTATGCGATTCCAGCACTGTCCCATATTTTGGGAAAAGGATGGCCATTATTATGGAGTTTTGGGTGAAATTCTGAGAGAACTGTCTCAAGCAATAAATTTCACGGTATCGAAAATAATCTGGGAAGATGATTACGGAGCTTGGAATCCAGAAACCTCGAGTTGGACGGGTGCAATCGGAAGGATTCATCGACAAGAAGCTGATCTAGGAGTTTCTGATTTCATGTTCAGTACTCATCGGTCTACTGCGGTTGCTTTCACATCTCACTTCACATCTGCAGGTTTCTACTTGTATCTTAACAAACGTTATATGGCTCGCTTACACTGGAATGCTTATTTCAAGGTGAAGATCATTAACCCGCTTAGCTTCAGTCACCTTTCTATGAATGCATTTCTAATAATTGATTCATCACTGACAGCCGTTATCAATGGACGTCTGGATGGTCATTTTTGGGTTAATTCTGACAACGAGTATTCTATTGAACCTCATCAACTACACGAGAAGATCACATTTTTTTCCTCTTCTCTTTCAACACTGTCTATATGCTTGGGGTATCTACTGTTACCAAGCATTGCCAAGTAATGACGAATGCAGTTCTGTTATCCCACAAATTTTATATAACAAATTTTCTGAATAGAATTCCCTAAAGGAACTTCTTCGAGGATCGTTTATGCGTCAATATTGTTATCGTCGGTGGTCACTTTAATTGCATATGCTGCTGCGATGACCAGTAGGCTCACTGTAGTTTCATACATACCATTCAAGACACTGCAAGAATTCGTAGACGACGGCAGTTTCCATGTCATAAAGCTAAACGTGTCTCAGGATTTTGATCACTACAAGGTGTTTCATTGCTATTTGTGATTCTCAAATAATGGTATCCAGTTAATTCATCCCACAAATTCATCCCAAACAATTTCATCTTAAAACAAATTTATCCCACGACAGTTTCATCCCATTTTTTCCATTATCACTGTTTGGATGAAGAATACGCTTGGCTGAAGCGCGTGACTTATCGGATTAGCAGAGTGTTGACCCTTTTTGGTGTTATCATTATTAAATCGAATAAAAACAACAATGTTGAAGAGAAGTGGACTAATTTAATAATTCAATTGAGTTGTCAAGTTTGCGGTAAATTTTGCTAAAATATCAATTACTGATTATTGTAATTTAATTTGTCAATTAATTTTCAAGTTCTATATTGATTTTGTAAATTGATGCTGCGGTCTATTACTTGTGGCTTATCTAGCGAATATTAGTTGAAATGGATAAGAATCATTTGACCGTTGTTTTGCAATGTTTCCTGTTAATCCGTTGATCTGTTGGGTAAACAATACTAGGAGGAAATCGTGAAGTATCTGATTAATTTTGATGTTGTGTTTAGTGTTTTTTTGCTGTGAAAATGAAGTTAATATTCTTCTATCCCTGAATTATTGTTGTGAACGTAAAAAATTCCATTGTAATTTGACATTTGGGATGAATTGTCCGGGATGAGTAGTCCGGGATGAACTCATCTAGAACCTCAAATAATATCCTCGATGCTATGGATAAATTTCGTTTCATATTGCATTACTAGTTCGAATTCAAAAAGTTTCTGCATTATGATTTCAGTTCTTTGACCAGACACTGACAAAGAAAATGATGTCTTTGATGATGCCAAGAAATTTGCTTCCTGTAACCGATGAGGAAGCATTTGAGCAGGTAATCCCGTTATAATAGGGATTTCATTAGATTTTTCTGATCTTTGGAATCTGACACAAAATCGCTTACGCTTCACACTGATTTCTTTGTTCTAATTAAAACTCATATAAATATAATTGTGAAACGAATCATTCGGGGAATATTCAATACTTTCGAAGCTGCGGTGATACTGTAAGTTTATATTCTTACACAGATGATCAAAATTTGCAGGTATGCAGCAAGAGAGTGGGGTACTACTTAAACGACATGGCGAAGAAAGCTATAGAAGCTCAAGGTATTAGAATACCTTGTGAACTCTCTTCCATCAAATATGGAAAAACGCAAATATTAGCGATGATCATGCCACACGGCAGTAGATGCTTAGACCTCGTCAATTACTAGTAAGATAGTTTCCAGAAGACAAATTCATCTTTTGTATAGTGATAAGCAAATGATTGATTGGATAAACCTTCAAGCATTATGCAGTTCAGAAGTAACGGAATGTTGCAACGTTTGGAGCACAAGTACTACAAGGAGCTCAAGCGAAATGACTTGAAATATTCATCAGTATCTCTTCGAGGAGTGGCACCCCTCCTGCTCATTTTAGCTATTGGATTTTTGATAGCCTTGATCATCTTCATCATCGAACAAAATGCTAATGCGTTCAGAAAGAAGTTACGTAGTTATCAAAAAAGGCGGACAACTTTCTTGAAAACACGAAAGGCATCTTTATTTCTAGCAAACGACTGTAATTTCAAAAAACGTTTACGGAATTTGAAGCAATTCATAGGAAGAATGCAATTGAAATAGATCTCAATAAGAGAGCAAAACAGAACATTTTTGGGGGTTTCAAGGGTTGGAGGGACGGTCTTATAAACATTTTTAATTACTTTTATATTATTTGGATCTGGGCAATAATGTTAGTTTGTGAAGTGGAGTATATGAAGCTCATTTGTTGAGTTGTTGTGGACTGGTGTAAACATAATTTATTACGGTGTCTAATGGTCGATATATTCAACGAATTATGTGAGTTATTTAGTTCTTTCTTTCCATTATCTTGTCGCTCTAGTTAGTTAATTTCAATTAGATGATTTTTTTGTGGATTTGACAGAGGAATAGATTGGAATTGGATTGCTGTCCTGATGAGGACCTCAAAATTTGAGGTCGACACTGATCACATTATCATAACAAATTGATAAACTTTATTGACCACAAGCCTACTTAAAATCTTTGTAATTCATTAACACGGTCACTAATCAACATTTAATAATTTAAGAAAAAAACAACATTCATGGTAAATCGATTGTGAGGAACTTGCTTAGATGCTGAAATGTTGTTTTCGGCACAAAGACTGGCTCAAAATTTCTATTGATTCATAAAATAGTCTCACATGGATTTCAAATCTGGAGATCGCCATTCTTTATTGAAATCTGTTCCCTTAGGGCAGATGAGATGCATGAAATCTGGTAGAATTGCCGAGTGAATTATAACAATCCTTGAAAAGACGAGGGAAACGCAGATGTCTGTTATTCTTAAGGGATACTCACAAACTTCCAGTGAATACATCCCACATTAACCTGCTTTATATACAAGGTCATCCGTCATTCTGCACCAAGAGATGTACCCACTTTTGACGCTTTCTCATGCTGTTCGTCAAATATACTCGGGGGTACTGTACCTCCAGGTGCTACTGTTGGAGCCGCGTTTTCAATGCAAAGTTGAAAGTCAAGCCAGCTGATTTTGTGTGTGCGTTGATGTTCTAAAAATTATTTTTTTTCTCGTCTCTCTTTGTGAAAACTTTCGAAGTTTGCGGAGATATCCAGGCGACACAATGTCTTTCACGAATGACACTCATGCGTCTGAGGATCAATGCATAAAGCACGATGTGTAGTTCAACAAACTGCCATAATGACTTAGATGAACGAGTTTGGAGAATAGCTTTACCTCGTGCTACTTTAAAATGGCACGTGTGTTCTCCCTTTGTTGATGTTTTCAGTCATATTGTTGTATTGTTTGGAACTTCAAGTTTTGCCTTTTCGGGAGGATCTTCATGCATTCAGCATTTGTTTAAAGCAATATTGTTTAACAACAAAAAAATGTCAAATTTGGCTTTTCTTCTCACACAATTCTTTCGACAAATCCTGAAATTTATAGATTTGGAACATTATCATTCACGTGATTATCTTACGATTGATTATTTTCCAAGTTCCAATTTAGACTCATCAATCTCTGCCAGTAAATACCTCAATTGAATTGTTATAATTTTGAATCTATTGACATCTCCACCGTAAATTATTTCCAGCGAATAATTACGTTAATTCCAGAATGAGATAAAACCGAATGGGCATCGCTACAAAGGAATCGCACACCACAATTCGAAACAAGCTCGGGAATAATTACCTCCGACCCACTTCTATTTTGGGAACATTTTCCCGGCAATAAATTCCAGTGTACTCAATTCACGTTCCATTAAATGATCCTTAGCAGCACTAAAAAATTCATGACTCGAATAAACTCAATCAAACTGGTGGAATTTCAGCGGAATTAATTCAATATGAACAAACTAACCTAACCCTTGTTTCAGGCTAATGATCTGCATCATCACGAGGGTAGAACAAATTGAATGAGTTAATGATAGACTGTGTTAATGAAAGGGTAATTTATTTTGCATTAGATAGAAAGTCACTTTTCGAAACGAAGCCTCAGAAATGAAACATTTGCATACCACAAAATTCATTATTTGAAATTTGTCTATTTGATCTAACAATATTTTTGTTACACATTAACGAACTCACATATTTATTTCAATATAAATATTTTTAGTTGTGTTTTTCACTAAAGACGGGACTTTATATAGCGTTCCACACCTTGTGATGTCACAGAGCATTGATATACTATAGGATTTCGAAGGAGTTAGATCGTTTTTTTCAATTAATTAATCATTTAATTTCAACTTTACGTAAAATGAATATATTTTCCCATTTGAATACATTCTTGACTATATTTCAATAACAAGACACTTACTACTGCTGTTATTTCAAAGGCGGCCTGATTGCTCCAAAACATTACCAATCAAAACAATGGCAAAAAATCATACTATTCAGTATTGCCTTCAAGCAGTCATTTCCAAATTAACTTTGAGGAATTTCCGCAGTAAATTTTGGGGCTATGGAGTGGGGGAAAATATCAAAGGTTCCGACAATCCGTTGCATCCTTTGAGAAAAAATAATGAAGTGACGAAAAGTTCACGGGTGTATTGAAGTTTCTTTGCACTCATTCTTCATGATTAATCAATTTCAAATAATTTTCATTTCGAAATATCATTTATCGAAATTTGTTAACAAATAAAAATTTTCATGAGAGATTTGACAACCGCGCATGTTTGTTCGACGCAGTTGGTATTCTTGTGTCCCGATAAAATCTTATACTGTACTATAGAATCTATAGTATATGCCTTTGCGGAGTTCACATGATGGCCTCCGCCGCGCGCACTCTAACCTCCCTCAACGTTGCCATGTTCAGCCATCAGTTTCCTCTGACATAACTAAAATCCCAAACTATGCCATACATTTTCTATAATTACAAATAATCTCTGTGGTGACGGCTAATGAAATGGTTTGGATATGTTCCTGAAATATATACGGTTCTATTCGTGAAGCGTTTGAATTTTTATTCCATTGTCGATTATGTTTTTGTGATTTTTGAAAAAGTGGTGCCATAAGACTGTTGATGACACATTTGTCATTTTTCCTCCTCAACAATCTACGTGGTTCGGCGTTTTTGGACTTTGAGAGGATATTTGTAATCACTCAAAGAATATATTCTCAAAATTTAAACTCTGCAGTCCATTTCCTTCCACTCCCATGTACTCACTACGGAAGTTCCTCAAACGTAAAAAAAATCAAATACTAATACAATGTGAATTCTATTAAAATACATTCTCATCCGCATATATAGGACTCCTCCCCTTCTCTCAGATTCCATTTCAACTTTTCAACCGCTCCAGCTGGATTAGGCAGATTGTCCCGGCAAAAGACCGTTGAGGAACCCGGTGCAATCTCAAGGCTATTTCCTTTTCGTTTGCATGCACATTTCTCGATAGCCCAGAGGGGTCAGACGATTTTACCGACTGACGTAAAAGAAGGAGAAACGTGTGAAATCTAGATTTACACGTTGTATATACATGATGACCCAAGTGAACGCAGATAACAAACCCCGGGGTATGAGAAAATTGCGTGAGATGGGGAAAAACCATCGGAAAAAGAAATGAAACTGAATTTGTACACGCGCTACGTGTGACAAGCGCCAGCGAGTTACCTGTGCCATTATCACTTCTCATGGGGATTCACCTGTGGGGTTTACGAACTGGAGATAATAACATACACATGGATATGTGGAATAAAAAATGCAGAAAAATTATAAAATGAACATGAAGGGAAAAGTGACGAGCGGAAAAGTCCTCTTAATGACAGAGGCGTTGCGCGCGTATAATCCATAAAGAAAAAATAGATCGTTATTGACAAAGAGAAAATTTCTCTCGGGGGTGAATAAGTATTTCTGGAGGGAATAAAATAAAAAGAGCGTGGAGTGTAAACCAGAATGTCGGTAAATGCGAGAAGTATGGAGGAGGTGATGGTGATAAAAAAAATAGAGCGAGCGCGGAATGGATATGTATTTCATGGATTGCAAGTATTAGAAAGCATTAAATTCACGGCCGAGAGTCTCGTTGATTTGACCGGGATTATGGGAGAAATTTTAGATGCAGTGACTCTCTGCGGTGGATTTTTTAATAAAAATACATTTGTGGGTGGGGGACTTGAGGAGATAATACCTGAGAATTATTTCAATTTCGATAGAGCATTAGGGGCATAATCCTCGGTTCATCGGCAGTTTCTGAATAATGGATGGATGTTGAAAGGAGAAAGGACACAAAGTCCCATATTGAAAGATGCTCAAGTGGTGGATGACAATGGGGAAGTATATAGGGGAGGGCAGGGCAAAACGGACCCCCCAGGGCAAAACGGACCACTGACAGAAAATTGATAACTTTTTCATTTTTTTTTATAGTTTTTGCTTCCATTCGAAATGTTGCTTCCGAATGGAAGCAAAAACAAAAATTCAAAATCATTTGTGGTTTGAGGTGATTAGCAAATCTGATCAAATTGCGGTTCACCGACACTTCTTGTCTATAAAACTCCAGTGACAGTTATGATCCTGAAACTCACTTTTAATTTTTATTTTGTTTACTTTATTTTGTTTATTCAAGTCAAGACAGCCGAGGCCAATTAGGGGAGGATGGGGCAAAACAGCCCCCCTTCAATCGTCAATATTTTCCGATTCAATAATCCGATTGGGATGAGTTAGAGCTCGTTTTGAAGAATGAAGAATTATCTTCAAAATGAAGTTGAAAATGGGAATTTTCACAATGTCATTCACAACTTATTGACAATTGAAGGGGGGCCGTTTCGCCCCACCCTCCCCTACAAGACTTATAAATAGTATGGAAATAGCAAACGCATTGTAATTAAATATTCATATTATGTAGTATATGTAAGATGTAACATAATAAATGTTATCTACAGATGTTCAGCAGCAAGGGAAAATATGAAGATAGTAAATATAGAAATGTAGAGGTGATCACTATAAAATGAACATCAATAATAGGTTTTTTACCGTGACATATGCCTTATTTACTAGAGAGTCCATAGAATCGTTGAAAATATCAACATCGGGGTACAAACTCAAAAACAAATTCAGAGCAATACCTGCCTGATGCATTGGAGAGGATAGAGCCAGGTTATTCTTTGGCT